TTGCTCCCTTCGACTTTCATCTGTTTGGGCCGCTCAAGGATGCTTTGCGAGGTCGCTAATTTTCTACAGACGTAGACGTGCAGGAAGCGGTGCAAAAGTGGCTTTGCAACCAATCGAAAACCTTCTTCTCGGAAGGAATACGCAAGCTTGTGGACCGCTGGACCAAGTGCATTGCCAAGGGAGGAGACTATGTTGAAAAATGATGTACACATTGAACCCCTATTTTTGTGTAAATAAATTGTAGAACGAAAAGTGCAGATAATTTTTGACTCACCCTCGTATAATAAAAAGCGGGGAATATTACTTCCAACATAAATACTATTATTACTATTACATATAGTTATTCGAAATTTTACTTGTGGTTGTTATTGCAGTATTTCTAGTACACCTTACCAAATTAAAAGCTCGTTTTGGTTTATGACAACCATATCGTAAGTTGCATGGACCAATATTGTGTCTATGAGAACTGTAATACATAACTTACGTAGTTGGAAGAATTATAAAAATTTGGTTGGCTCCCAAAATGACTATAAATTATAGCGAGATTGTGGTAACTGCAGGCATTTTTTTTCTGTCAGTGTGCGTAAACGAAACTCCGAATAGAAATTTTAGTTTTTGCACTGTCGGACAGAATTGAGCGAAATGTAATTAAATCGACGGTTATTAAGTAGCAAAATCTGCGATTTATGCAATTCTTGAATAATTAATAATCATGATTAATAACAGAAATAAACGGAGCGAAAATAATGATCGGTCATGATTTACTTCATCGTTCCAGTCGGCAATCGGAAAATAATTGCGCCTTTGATTATGATTGATGCAACAAATTAGCGGTACGTTAAAGAGAAATACTAACACCCTTTTACGCACTCCGTACGTTAATCTAACTGCAATTGTGTAAAATCATTCGTTGGGGTGAAAAAACAGTATCAATTAATTACACCGACGTAACGAGAAAATCACTGATTACCGCTTGACAAATCTGTCCTCCTAGCAGAGATTTTTAGGCACTCTCTCCGGCCCCCGTTCTGAATTACCCCAAGTTAAGAATGACGAGTAGGCGGCGTAATGGATTTTCCCGCAACTGTCCGCGCGCGTATTTTTGACGACATCGCACTTTAACGCACCACCGCCGCGTAGCTGACGGCGACGGCAGCTTAATAAGAACCGGCAGCGCTAATTCTCGAACGTGGCGGGCTTCCCCACGTTTCTGCCGGCGTGGTGGTGGTAGTGCGCGAAGCGGAGCCCCAGCTCACGCCGTCATCCTCGTCAGCTGTGCGAAGGTCAGGGTCGCGCGCACGCCAGCCGAGAGGGTGCAATCGATGCACCGTCCGCCGCCGCTCCGCGTATCCCCTCGCCGGATGCAGTTGCCATGGAGACCGTCTCTCCTGACCCCCATTGCCCGGAGGAGCGGGAGAGCGGGCTGCCCGTCGACGCACGAAGAGGGACCCGGGGAATCGGGTATCAATCCCGTACGGTCGCGGAGTGTGCGGGCGCGAGAGAGTGACGGAGGCGGCGGCGCGCGTTCAACGCATTCCGCGTTCTTCTCTCGCTCCTCTTTTCCTTCTTTGCGATTCGTTGAAGGCGACATTCCGCGGCGTGGAATCTTTTCCGCGTGCCTACACCCGGGATCCTCTTTGGGAAGGAGACGCGCTCGGGAACTTAATCTCCTTGCGCGCGCTGTGAAGAATATTCGCGCGTCCCCTCGTGTAATGGTGTCCTCTCGGTGAGATGAGACGACGGACATTATCCGCGGGCAAATGGTGCATATATCGAGTAACGTAACACGAGACAGTACAATTAAAACGTTTATTACATTTTGAACTGTTACACATCGATAACAAAATACGCTTAAAATAATCTCAGCTAACCGAGTGTCGGTTGTACCGCCGTATAATCAAATCACTTAAAATGGTAATGACGAATAATTAACTCCTGTAAAATTACATGTAAACAATTATTTAACTGCTCTGCGATTCGAAATATCGAATAAGTTACATAAGAAGTTTTCTCGTCAACGCTAGAATCGCTCGATCGTTTCCCTTTCACTTAATTGTCACGGAGATCAATTACGATCCTTCAATCGAGGCGTATTATTTGTGCCGAATTAAGTTGCGCAAGGTCGTCCCGAGGGAGACGAAAGTAAGGTCAGCTGATAGAAATCAATATTCCCCGAATCGTCCGCGCGACACGGCCGCACCAAGACCACACCTTCGCTTTTAATTCCGTTCGCGCTTATTAAACGCGCGGGCGTGCGGGAGCCGAGGTGTTTTCCCGTCGCGCTAGACACCGTCCGAGAATTCGGGACGGCGAGAGATGGACGGCTGGAAGAGCTGGAAAAGGTCGGAGAGCTCGTTTCTCTCCTGGTACCAGCGCGCCAGAGAGTCCTACGTTGCAGCTTGGTTCTTCGGGATGTTTCAGAGCGGCGGAACAATGTCGACGAGCGCCGCCCTCGGCGGCGGTGGCGGAGGCGTCGGCGGTGCCCTCAGCCTGATGGGCTGCGTGAGGGAGGCCTCGCCGCCCCCTCAAAACCACCATCATCAGCAGCATCGCACTTTCGGCCTCGGCGAGTTCCCGGCGACCCAGCACAGCGTCGACCCTCTGCCCAAAGGTCAGCATACTCTTATTGTTAGCGCACTTGGACAGTTTCGTGCACTGAAAAAAAAAATCTGTTAGATTCAACCAGACGTCTGTTAGAAAATGGACGAATCAGAATTCCCTTTAGGATTTACCAGAATTCCTTTAGGATTTACCATGAAAGATATTTCATAACCAGAAGTTTGGTAGACTTTACTACAAATCTGGTAAATCCTAAAGGGAATTCTGATTCGTCCATTTTCTAACAGACGACTGGTTGAATCTACCAGATTTTTTTTTTCAGTGTGACCTCGCGAGATGCACACGAGAGCGTGAGGCCCAAACTTTCGGTAGTCAGCGGTTCGACTGCAGAATTTTAAGCATTGAACTAAATATCCAGATTATTCAGACAACAATTTGATGTTTTTCATTTATTAATACTGATGTTTCAACGATTTTATAATTACACTGATCCTGTTGATGCAACATCATTCTTTTTTCCGTGTAGGTGCGGTTTTACTTTTCTTTTAGCTTTAGAGGCAATTACGTGATTATCGATCTTAACGCGTAGTATTCGATCGATTCCCTATGAGGCTACGAGACTACGAGGCAATGTCGTGTTGCGTTATTCAAACAGAATGAATTTCCCGGGGAATTGTTCTCTGTCAAATTTTAGAAGGTAGTAGAAGATACAACGCTGGCGGCGACGGCGTCTAGACACGCCGCCGGGGAAACTGCATTTCCTCCTCCGAAAATCGGATTCTCGACATCGCGTTCGTTCAGGACACGCGAATTCCTGGGGCGCGTATTACGGCGACCCGCGGATAAACGAGGTGTATGATGAAACATATGGGTTTTCTCGAGCAACGCACACGTTTGCGCGGAATACTGTTCTCTTCTATATAAAAATACACGACGCTTCGCGACTATTCGATCACGAGATCGTTCCCCTAATTCGGCAGTTGTTCGCGGTTTTTTTACGATTCTGTCATTTTTATGGGCAAATAAAAATAATAATGAAGATCGCTTCTCGCTATCAAGAAAAGAGACACAATCGATTAACCAAGGGGAATTTTTTGAAAAATCTACCAGACTGGCAAAAATGATGACCCCTATTTTAGTCACGACGTTTCGACCTCTTTATCGGGTCCTTTTCAAGTACAACCTCTGGAAACATTATAAGTGCGCAAACCGCAATGTAGAAAAAGAACTCTTTAGTATGTATATGGACAGAAAATACCTAAAGTTGACTGAACGTTTTAATTTGTGCCGAAACAGAATGGATTCACGAGTCTGTGGCAGCAAATTCATAATATCAATATCTGAAATTGTTACAGGTGAATAATTAGATAGTTATTTTTGTGGTTAGAGAAACGAACAAATTAATAAATGAGTAAAAAAAACGGTCGAAGGAATAAGATAAGTTAAATAAATAAATTGTTTAATAAGTTAAGTGTAAGAGTCAAAGGGTAAAAAGGCAAGGGCTCGTGGACTCCATCGATAAAATTTTTGCATTTATCTTCCTATCGCTTAAAGTTTAGAATGATTTGCCCGGCGGTGGTAAATCATTAATTATAACTCAACGGTTCTCCAAGTTCACGCCCAAGTTGGCGTCGCGTTACGGTATCGTCTGTAATCCGCAAGGCCGAACAAATGCGAGGGCGTCCTCCGCATCTCGGGCAAGGATGGTGAATCGAGGTCGCGGTTAGCGGTAGTAAGAAACGCGTATGTTTAATTAGGAGCACGGGGATTAAAGCGACAATTATGATTACGGTAGGCGGCGCGCTGTGATTTCTTAGATTCTTCTCCCGTCTTGCGTTACGGTACGTCGTGACTATTGTTCGGAGTAGCCGCGTTATGTGTCATTACGGATGAGTTTCCGGGTCGGGACAACGACTCCCGCCGTTGGATTAGGCCCCGGTAAATTGCAGAACTCGGCGAGCGCGGGGGTAAATTAACTTGGGAGTTAATTTTTTAGTCGAGTACATAATTAGCGGGGAAACTTGGCGGATTCTCGGTCAGTTGACATTTGCCGTTGTCCCGGCCGAGATTCTTTAATAATTAACGCGCTAACTTTCGAGAGAACTTACACTTTGACTTTCCTCGTAAAAAAAAATTAACTCACTCGTCCCTTGCATTAAATTTTAATTTTAACTGTAGTTACGAAAAGTATCCTCGCATATTAATGAGAAATAAAGCCCGAGTAACCAGGACGGGTATATTTCATAGGGTCGCTTTTAATCGCGGCCGAGATGTAATTTTATAAAAAAAAAGATCTGCGACGTAGTAAAGATGTAATATAATTTTTCCACAGCTCTCTTTTTACGCGGCTTTATTTTTCACAATTTCGTTGCGTCACGCATTTGTATTAACGCGACTGACTCTCGCGATGCAATTTACATCTCAATCTTGCCCGCGAAGAGCCGTCGGTTCTTTTTATTTCGAGAATTTCCGTAACCGCGCGGTGACGGTGCGTTATTCCACGATATCGTACAAACAGATGTTCTCGTTACGTGCGATAGACAGCCGCGAGCGAGCGGCTCGGGCGTAGCATTATTTTTCGCGCTTCAACGACGCCGGAGCCGCCGCTGAAGCGTGTAAAGTGCGCTCGCGCAGAGAGTGTCAAGTACACAGTAAAGATCACTCCCGATCAAGCGTACATTCCTCGCCCCCTTGCCTCGTTAAGGCCGCGTGGGCTGGTATTTGATCGCGGGACGCTAGACATCGTGGTAGATCGACTTTAAGCGCAGCATCACGCGGCATCGAGACGGGATTATGGTAGCTCGACTTTAGGCGCAACGTCATCGGGCCGCGTCGAAATTGGGTATGCAACAATCAGTATGCATGGGCTCTAAACATTGTTTAATATAGATATAGTTTATTGCTTCCCCTTAGGGTTACAAGATCAACTCCTTCGTAGATAAGACCAAGATACAAAAAAAAAACAATTTTACAATACGTTTCGCTTATACAAACTTTGTTTAATATTGATTCCGTATTGTCGCCAAGTACATAAAAATCGAATGTCCGGCCACGAGAATTATTCGAAGGCTATGTATATTTATTACAAAAAGATCGCGTTCTTGAAATGCACATAAAAAAACATCCAGACTTTATTTAGGTCGTCCGTATCGCTGTCGTAATTTTGTTCGAACCTTGAGAGCTAGTACAATTATATCGATAAATTCGAGAAGTTCTTTGATCTCTTCTCATTCACGTCATTACTCTTCCGCATCAATATTTGCTACGCTTATTTACACCCACGGAAACAATTTCCGGATACAATGCTATTACGCTTTAATGTATCCTAAAATGGGATCAATATAGCGTCAATCATATTTATTATAGAGAAAGTAATATTTGAATCTTAAATGAAAAATTCTAAAATCTAGAATCGTCTTTTGTCGAATATCGCGGTGCCAACTTCGTGCGTTGCAAGATGGAGGGAAAATTTATTCTAAACGCAAGAACAACGACAAGTTACTCTTGTCTCAATATAGTAATTCAATCTTTTTTTAATTCGATACAGGCGAATAAGAATTATTGATTTTACTTTCATACCGTCCTATTTTTATACTAAATGAGATTGTGAGAAATATAAATGCGTGAAGAATATTTCCTGTCTCGGTAACAGAAATCCTTTCTGAGGGTGTAGTTTCATCAGTTTTAATACTTTTGTCACACGATTATTTCTTTGTCGTTTCGATTCACCGCGAAGTGCGGCGTGAATGTGTACGACGGCTGTCTCAAGCTTTCGTTTACCGAGCCGTCATCTCGCCGAGATTGCCCATCTACTTGTTAAAAGTTTCAAATCTCGTCTTTATGCATCAACGTCGGAGGCGTCGTGAGGTTTCCTCGCGGAGCATCGACAGATGCGTCACGTCAAGCGATAAGTTGAAGTGCTGGTGAGTAACGGAGACGGAGACAGGTCAGAGAGGGAGGGGGCAAGAAAAGGGTAAAGGCCACTGGAGAGAGAGATCGAATACCAGCACGACATTAGGCTCGTACCTTATAAGGTGACGCTCTCCCGCCTCATATATCGGGCCGATATGGAGTTATCGAGTAGCTTGTAATCTTATCACAGCCGTCGTGTATTTTGCGTATTTATCCGTGAAATCAGTCAGGTGCATACCGTGCAGACGGAATACGCGAATCTTTGGCTCCGCAGAGGATGCCTTCTCTCGACTCGCTCGTAGATTTCCTCGGTAAATATTGTCCGATCACTTTGCATCTCGCAAGGATCTCAAAATTGTTATTTTCAGTGACGATGACACAAATATGTGATGACACAGGGATGTCTGGCATCGCTGCATTCTTTCCTAAACGTACAGAATGTAAATTAGTGAATATTAGAAATTATTTTGCAATCGTTCGCAGTCGGTTGGCTCGTAATTGATTTCTACTTTTTAATTATCGAATTAAATCAATCCCTTCCGGAATAAGTTTGTAACAGTTAGAAACAGGCGTGATTTAATTTAGTTATATTTTATTTCTAATTTAAATTCACACAGCGATTAAAGCGAAAAGAGTTAAAAGAATTCAACACGTTGTGGTGAGTATTGTTCGTTTTGTCAACAATACTACAATCAACACAGGACTGAACGCGTGCACATGTGCTGGTGTTGTTGAAGAGAATCTAACCGAACTCTTTTCGCATGCCCGTCCGCTCGCAGAACCAAAGAAGCGCCGTTTCCATCCGCTGCGCGGTCTCCGGAAGATCTTCCGGCGAAAGAGCCGCGGTGCCGCCGATGCACGTTCCGTCTCCAATTCTGCTGATCGGGATGCCGAATTGGCTCGCCTCCCGCGGGAGGAGATCACGATGAGGCATCCTGCGGGACGCCCCGAGGAAGCGCGTAGCAGAAGCGCCAGCGAACTCCTCACCGACTCCTGCGATCGGGAAAGGTAAGGGAACGTTTTTCTCTATCAATCTCGGAAATAGTCTCCTCTTGAATAGCGTACTCGAACTAATCAGTGCAGTCTAGGTCGATTCCACGCAAAATTATCTCGCTATATATTTCGTGTTCGTCAATAATTATTTCTTTCAAATAATTAGCGAAAAATTTAAAATTAAACGCGGCGCGAAATTATTTATTTATACGTTAACAGTCCGTAAGCTCAGAAACTGCTATCTGAAATGGATTGCAGTAATTGACACAGTGATAGCTTAGGTTTACATAAGATATATATATATATATATATCTTTAATTTTTTCAAAATTGCTTCCTCGTAAGATAAACTTCAAGTGCACGCGGAATATTGATGCCGATCTTTCTTAGCACATTAAACGCGATATCAGAGTATTGTATATTCATCGCTCTGTCAGTATTCGCAACAATTACCGTTAATTAAATCTTTTCAGTGGACGACACGTCCGTTCGTCGAAAAGATGCAATTTCGTCGCGTCTTCCAAGACACGCGAGTCGCGGTAAATATCATGAAATTTATCTCGGCGCCAGTAGATCACTGAGTTATATGGCAGTCGCTTAATTATCATCTCCGAAAGTAATCTCGTAACGGCAGACGTAGATAGTAGCGCTAGTCATACCGAAAAAGATATCCGTTACTGATAATAATTAATCGTCTCCCGTGATGTCTAACTACGGAAGAATTTAAAAGTAGAAAAGTCATAACGTAAGACACATCGGGTTCGTTCAAATTGAAGAATCTAACATCTCAGTAGATTTATCACAAAAACTCAAGCTTAAGTTATCTAATTAAAGTGTAGATAACTGTCGAGTACTGTTGTTACTTCTGACAAAAGTGCTTTCTCGAATCTCTGTGTATTCGTTTCAAATTCGCTTCGTCTTGCTTTTTTCAGTTTTGATAATTTTCTTCCAAAAGTATCGCTACCTAGCAGCCACAAGGGAGAGATCTGTTCTCCTTCTTCTTGGAGCGGACGTAAAATACTTTTACAGTCTTTTCGGCGCGCGAATCAAACCGCGAGCGCGTTCGGCTCGTTATCAATTTACGATCCTTGGCCTCGTTTTCTCGCTCAGCTTTTATTTTTGTCCTCGTAGTACTTCGTAGTAACTTAGCTCGTAGTAGCACGAAACTCGAGGGCGTTTTGCGTGCTCTGTATGATTTACATGGGTCGATATGTAGTAGCGTCGTATCGTATAACGACGACGCGGTTTGCTTTCGTCCGAGCGATACCGCCGTAGCACGTCGTAGCACAGAGAGGCCGCATAATTATCTGTCGCTATTGATACGTGTCATTCCTGGCAAATAACTCATCGCTTTAATTACGAGTATTAACGGCATTGAATAAAGTTTGCGCCGAGCGCTATGCACGTGTACGTTTGCTTTTTCGAGCGAATATAGAACAGAAATTTTATCACAGAGGCAGGCGACAGCAGTCTTGCGTGTTATATTTAGTCACGTATTATAAGATTTTTTTTACGTCTCATTGTCAGCTACAACTTTCATTTTCAGAAAAAAAGTCGACTTCCATTTAGAAAAATGACCGCTTGATGAAATCTCTAAAGTGGCGCCATCTGCGAACAAATTGATATCGCTCTCTTGTGTCTCCCTTGAGGTCAATCAACTTTTCTAGGAAACATTTTTTTGTAAAAGCGTCGTAGGACATGAAATATTTGGGGTGGGACATTGAAATAACCCACCCCGTATATTTGACATGTACGTACACAAGTTTTGATTCTGTTCAACTTGAGTAAGTCGATTTAACGATGTAACACGAAGTTTCAATTTTTACGTAAATGGAATGCCATCTCAGGGAAGTTCGAAATAACTCTTGTAACATACTTTATTAAACGTTCCGTTGTCTCTCTGCCCTTTTAGCGTATTCCTTCGACGAGGCGGGGTGGAGGACAGTTTCGTCAAGTTACGAGGAGGCGCCGGCAAATTGTCAGTGTCCCACGATAGCGTTTTCCCGGGAGAAGTTCCTCACACACGGCCTCTCTCCTCGCTGGCCAGCCTGGCGACGCTCGAGGTCAGTATTTATTCTCGTATTCAGATGTCACGGATGTTCTGTAAAACGTTCGAACTGCTTTTAGTGTATTTCTCAGGGGACTGGTCACGCAGGAGACTGGTAGATTATTTAAGTCCAAGCTTGAATAGAGGCACGTGAAAGTCTAGAAAGAAATATTGACGATAAGATTTCCCGAACTCGCACGAAATTTTAAAAGAAGGAGAGAAAGAAACATTTATTTTATTTTTAATTTCTAAGTAAATTTGCTAACAGTTTACTCGTCGCCTCTACAATCGCAGTAAAGGCCTGTAGCCAATCAACTTGCAGCTTCTATAGAATAGCCGCAAGTCGATTGGCTTTGAGACTATTTCCCCTCAGAAATGAAAAGATTTCCAGACAGAGAGGGGGCTTTTTTCGGAATTACCGAAAATTTTTGCGTCTGGCCTTGAAAGACTTGAGTATTTAAGCGCTAGGGGATTATTATTTAGTGGCGGGTTATTCTCCGCGCGTTTGATTGACGCAACGTTCGCGCAACGTCCCGGCGGACGCTCGTAAGGTTTTCCTTTCCGCCGGCCGGTGAAACTCCCGGCGACACTCGAATTATCTGTAAGAGCTCGTTAATCGTGACGCAAGTATACAGGCGTACGTGTGCCACGTTTGCTCGAGTCGTTTACATATCCGCGAATTATATACACGAGTGCGCGAGGATTCGCGAGCCGTGCTCGCCACCGCGTGAAGCGTGAACGGCCGCAAACACGGCCGGGGATACCTCTCTCTCGTCTCATCTCGCGGTCATCGGGAGACCCGAGGTATTCTAAGCACGCGCGAATCGAGCTACGCCGATTACACGTGTCCGCGATCCGCTCGTGACTTGTCTTCCAATTTTCGCGACGATGAATCGCACGGCACTCGCGTGCCACTCGCGATGGGTCGACCGCCGTTATCGGCGGATTGCATGAAAATGGCGACGCGCCGCGGGCCTAATTAACGAACAAAGCCGCTAATTAACCGGCGCGACCGCCGGCTTGACGTTCCCTGTTTCCTCGAACGTGTACGCGCGACTTACTTTTTCTTTCGCCCGCCGCACACCGTTACTCTCTTTCGTTATTCTTCCTTTCGCGCGACCGTAGATGGTTATCTCCGCCTTTTTCGTCGCTTCCGCCCGTTTTATGTCGCGGCCAGTGCCGATCCTGGGTGCTTGGCCGCAAATTCACTTTTCGCCGTCCCGTTATTCCGTTAAATTTACATCTTGGAAACTGTACGCTTTCCCGCGAAACCTGTACGCTCATTGAATAATCGCGCGTCGCGTTAGTTTGCAAGATCCACGAGAGTGGCCTTTCAGGCCGAACCAGACTAGCAATTGTCGACGTTTTAAGGCAGACGAATTTTTGGGGCTAGAAAAAGTGATGTGACTTTTCTAATCATATTTCATTCGCGGCACTTAATTTAAGACCCATTGCAATTTAACGAAAGGGAAAATAATGAATGTAATTGAATACGTTGAATCGAACATTCCTTTCCTCGGCAATGTTAGAATTTAAAAAGCTAAATATATACGTGCCAGTATCCCCGAAGAGATTGAAGTATTATTAATAATAATTAATTTTAGCACTCGGAAGTGCATTAGTAGTGATATATTACTGTGATAAGAATTGTTTAATTTAATTACGGTGCGCGATAAATATCACTTCGGTAAAATGTACAAGTAATACATGACAAAGCGCACTCCGTATATCGAAGTATATATGCCAATGAATTATATTTCATGCTTCGATTAGAACGAAAGGCGTAATTACAGTTTATCTATATGCTTTCATTAATAATAGGCGATATATATTAATTCGATTTTGTGGTAACGTAATATTTGCAAGACAGAATTCACTTCCCGCTTTCGCGAATTTATATTCCGGCAAATTATATCGCGCCTTTCGATTAGACCGGCGATAATCACGGCCCGAGTCTCCCGAGCGCAATTATCGCGATTGATAATTCTTTGATAATTCGTGTCGGAATGCCATGCGAAATGTGGGACGATCCTCTCCATCCTTTCTATTTTCGAGAGAAAAATGAGAAGCGCGTTCCGTCCTGATACTTGAGGAAAGTCGCGAATAGTTTTCACGTACGTGGAAAACCCCGAAACCCGCGGGGACTCGAGGTTTCACTTGGCGTAACGCTACGTTTTTCTCCGTCTCTTGTCGTTCCAGCGGCGGCAGACCAGGAAGAGTAACGAGATCATCGAGCACAAGGAGTACAATCATCATCACGTCGCACAAAGGCACCGGATATCCCTTCGGGTAATTCGCGGAAGCTTTTAACATACTTTTAAAGGCCGTAAATCGACGCGCTACGAGTCGCGGCCCGGCACTCTTGCGCGATAAACATTTCGCGCGAACCGCATATAATAATTTTTATCGCCGTATTTTTCTGTGTCGGATATACAATTTTTCCCCCCTTTTCGTGCCGTCGAAACGCCGCGTACTGCACGCGTGACGTACATTACTAGCACAGATAAAATCCGCGTTCTGCAATACGGCGAGGATACCTTCGAACGTATAACTAACGAGAGAAAGAAAGCGCGAGGACCGTCCTCTCGGAAAAATAAGATTTCTGCGTCGGATAAAGTCCCCGCAAATGACGTCCAGCATATGCGCCGCCGCGCGCATAATTATTGACCGTCGCTTTATCGTTCGTTCGCAGGTACTCGAGCAAATAAAAACGGTCATAGAGAACAGGAACCAGCTGGCCTCGGCGACCTCGCCGGATACGGCCAGTATAGCGCATGTAAGTATTTGGCGAACGAATTAATTGGTCCGGATCTCGAAAGGGCAAAGATAATGTTCGGTCTGCCGGTCTCCCGAAACGCGCGCGACTTTCGTTCGATTATTCGACTCGCAAAGACCTTTCACTCGAATAAAAAAAAAGAAAATAAATATTTCCCCGCGTTTGCATTTAATGGATTCTCCGCAGGTGATTATAAAAATATTTATTGCTCACTAAATTACGGAATTGATCGTCTCGTAAATTATCGCGACGACGATTGCGCAACGTGATCCGCGCGGCCGCCCAATTACGGTCGCGTGTCCCGCTCGTCGTAATTAAATTTCGCGTCGTAAAGTTTCGCGAGTCGAGTCGGGTAAAGCGAACTTTTTCGCGTTCTTGTTTTTTTTTTCTGCGGTGTTTCTCGAGGACGCGCGAGGGATCCGCGCGCGTGCGGCCGAAGGAAAGCTGGGCCGCTCTTAATAAAGACAGAAAGCCAGACGGAGTGATAGCTCCTCTCCGCCGCGGCTAATTACCGCGCGTTTCACCCATTTTTTCCTAATACGTTACATACACGCGGCGCGCATACATAAGTGACGTCACGTTTCGCTTTTGCGTTTCAGGCTGCCGGCGAGCGGTATCAGCAGGAAACCACCGAGGTGAGATAAAGCGCGACGACGAGCGGTTACTTTTTACTCCCGGCGTATCGGCGCGAGCGCGCGGCGTCGGGCCGCAGTTTCGATCCGCGTCGCGGCCGTCCGGTATCGCTCGCCGATAGCGCAGCTAAGACGGTGCCGACCGATCGGCGGCAGCCTCGATTCTTTTTTTCCTTTCATGCCGCTCTCGCGCGTCTCTCGTCTCCGCGATCGTCCCTCGAATCCTTTCCTCTTCGTGAGATGACATAACGGCGATCTGCCGAGATCGCTCCGCGACGGTGTGCAAGTGCGACTAGTGCGCCGATCTCTGCGAAAATGAGCAACGATGCGGCGCGGCCGAAATCCGTGCGAAAGATGCTCAATAAGGTCCTGCTCGTGTCCTCAATCGTGTCAACCTTGAGGACTAGAATCGGGGTAAGAGGAAGAAGGGGAGACGGAGGAGTGCGTCTCCGTGTTTCCTCTCGTTACTCCGCGTTTAATGTAAACTTTCTCCGTCGACCGCTCGAGAGAAGAAAAGAAAAAGACCGCGATCTCGCCGCCGCGTCGAGGTGACAGCCTGTCATCGACTTTCCTTCCTTACGTCACATGCTCGCACTCGGGGTCCTATCTCCCGGTTAAAGATACGCGTATTTAAATCCGCGAACGAGATTGAACGTTATCTCGCCGGAAGATTCGCTCGCGACCCACTCGTCCCGGGCGGGCGGCGAACGTCTCGCCTCGGCGTGTCGCGTAGCGTCGCAGCGAATTAATCGGGTCGTTCTCCATTTTTAGAACCGCTTCGCCGTGTTCGAGAGACATGGGGAGAGGAGCTGCGCGGAGGAGAGCCAGCAGGCGAAGGTGAGTACACGGGATCTTGCACGAGAGGAATGTACCATTCGTACAATGTTACATCCTACCGGTTTCGCCACTGCCGCGTGCTGAGAAAAAGAGAAAATGGTATCTTCACCTCCCCCCCTCCTGATATCGCGCTAATCGGATTGTCGTAAATCAACCGGCGAATTTCTGCAACAGGTGGCGAACGGCGGTGGCGAATCCGATAGAGTGTGTGTGTGAGAGAGAGAGAGGGAGGGAGGGAGACGCAGCAGCCCGTTAAAATCTCGTTTCTCTCTCTCTCGCTCGCTGTTAGATAACTCTTTGTATGCGCGCTGCCAACGAATTGCGCATAACGTGGGAACGATCGCGTTTGTTGACTATGAGATGCGAGCCCGCGCGAGTCGCAACATTATCGTCGTCACCTCGCGTGCGGGTGACACGCCGGTGCACCGGGCTCGTAACGGGAACTTCCCGAGGTCGTCGCACGCCGAAAAGGCCGTAACGCCCGCCGGTGCATCTCGGTACCCTTTGTTCCATGGTGTAAAGATACAAGGTGAAACATTGCGCATGTAACCAATTTTTTGGGGCAAATTGGTTCTTCCTGCATTTCAACCGCAACAATTTTCAGTTTGAAGGTTGGGGCAAATTTTTGATTGGTCAATTCGGTAGTTTGGGCCATTTCTGGTTGGTTGACACTGCGCATCCACCAGATTGCTTCACCTTGGACCATCGTGTAAAGGTACATGAAACATTGCGCATGTAACCAATTTTTGGGGCAAATTGCTCATTGGTTCTTCCTGCATTCAACCGCGATGATTTGCAGTTTGAAGGTTGGGGCAAATTTCTGATTGGTCAATTCGGTAGTTTGGGCCAATTCTGATTGGTTGACACTGCGCGTCCACTAGATTGCTTCACCTCGTATCTTTACACCGTGCTTTCTTCCGTCCACCTGAAATATGCATATATCCGGGTTAGCCATTCCCCCTCCCCCTGCCGTCATAAAGCGCGCCGTCAAAATGCAACGCGGTGCACCGTGTATATTTATATCGTAATTCTCGGGACGTCGAAAATGCGGCCGCCGCGCCGTAATCGCGACGGACAAAGATGTGGATGCATCAGCGAGAAACTGCCAACAGGAAGCTCTTTGTGGCCTGCATGCCGCGGATGTGCTGATATTTCGCTCGCTGTTCAACACTTTGAACACGACGAAACCTGCGTTGCGCTTGAGAATTCTTTTTCAATTATTAGACGCGCTTTCATACGATTTCTTCAAATTCGACGTAGCGACTTTGCGCCAATAACGGCCGGCAATGATATTAAAAGCTCTCTAAGTGATATAAAAAACTGATGGTTATTCTACACGGAATTTTCTTTGAAAATTTACCCTGAAAATTATGTGAGCGTGGGACAACGTGGCATTTTGAAGAACTTGATGAGAGTTTTTTTTTTAAACTTACCATAATTTTACTAATAAAATGTAAAATACTCTCGTAAAATTCTTCACAGTGCCACGTTGTCCCACGATCGCGTGATTTTCAGGATAAATTTTAAGAGAAAATTCTCTCCGTGTAGACAATACTGATAACGTAAAAAGTTGTAACAGAATAATTAATGGCAGCGAAGTTACAGAGCGTAATGCTCCTGCGTTAACATCAGTATACGAGCCAATTACTGTTATTAATATTTAACATTGGTAATAATTAGCTGCGTTAATATTTCTACATTTTAATAACGGCGTTAATGGTTCATTATTATTTCATCGTGGCGTAATTCCCACCGAGGCGATGGCTCTACTTTTCAATTCACGGGGGGGAAAAAAATCCCTTTTTTCCCTTCGTCTTTCGACGAGCGGAGAATGACAAAGCGAGCGAGAGGTGGGATGGGAGAAGAGTTATTCCGGGGGATCTCCGCGAGTTTGTCACCGCGCCTAAACAAGAGATATTTTTGGATCGTGACACATTTTATGGATCTTTCGACGCGAAAAGCAAGCGTGCCGCGAAATGTAAGACAATGAGGGGCGACGGAGCAGGGGGGAGGAACGCGAAGCCGAACACAGGGAACGCCGTCCCGTGTCCCTTTTACGGCGTTCCCTCCCCGTTGTTTCCAACTTCTCTCCCCCTCTCCCCCTCGCGCGCTACCATTATTTCCGTCTGCACGGTGATGAATCTCCTCGTCCGCGGCTATTATTGCGGGCTTCGTGATGGACGACGCCGTTTAAAACAATACCCGCGGCTCGATACGGGCCGAGTCGCTCCGCAAATCGCGTTCTTTGTCGTCGCCACCGACTCAGTTCTCAGAGCTATTAAAACACGCGTTTGCGTTATATTGCAGCCTCGTCGTTTACAATGGTACACTGTCGCACCTGAAAAGTCGATGGGCTTTACGTTGAAAGGGAAACTGATTGCAGTGACCAATTAAATTGTTATCAAAGCGTCGCTGTTTACAGCTATTTGCTAATCGAGTTGAGCAATAACTTTAGAACGCGACGTATCTTAAAGGCATAGCGTGTCGCCTCTGCACGAGAAAAGTGACACGAGTTAAAACATTTGCAGGAGCAAATTCACTATGTTTTAACCCGTGTCACTTTTCTGCACTTTCAATCTGCTCGCACAGATCGTACACAGCTACACATGGTCCGCTGAATTGCTCTTATATCCCTTTTCTTTCCTCGCCTCGTTAGATTTTTCTTCACGATGAGAATCGTATTTTTCTGTTAAACGTTCTCTCTCTTACCTTACCGTCACTATTTTTAAACGAAATATAATCTTCCCGTTGATCCTTTTTTTTGATAAAATTTTTCTAATTACTATTTTCTAATATTTCGATAATTAACGTTTTTAATTCCGTCTCCTATATTATCGACACTGATCGAGTTCGCCAGCGGCTTTAGGATCAAGTGTACCAAAAATTAGTAAAATTTTTAACTTTTTTCAATTTCTTTTATTTATATAAAGTCGACCGGCATAGTCTAGACTTGGCTGCGTACTTAAATTCTGTAAAAGAGTTTTGCATTTCTGTAAAGCCAATTAACAGATTGCTTCTAACAAAGAATGTCGATAAAACAGACGGCTTTAGGATCCCCTTAAAACATTATAAGGACCCGAGTCAAAGGGATCGGTAATGTCTTCTTCCGAACGTTTTCTTCCACATTCGGCTCGTCGAGTGACGCGAACGTTAAAGATACGAGGTATTAGTCACAAGATGCGGCAGGAGGGGGGCAAACGACGTTTCGATAGCGAGCGTAGAAACCAGCAGAAGCGAGAGACGGCACGTAATAACGGGGGGCACGATACGAAGTTTACTGTTACTTGGCCCGTGGCCTGGCAGCGACGCATGGATCAACACGCCGAGCGCGTTTCAATGCCCCTCGCTCGCTGGCTTGCTTTCATCGGGCCGACAGGCAGATTGGAGCGATACAATAAATTGTATCCCTGAAAAAAGTACCGCTGCGCGTACAGCGAGACCGTCGGCGGTAAATTTCGGATTTATCGAGTCCATCGTTTATCAATCCGAGGTCGATTCTCCCTCGGCCCTCTCGGCAGATCGTGCACAAGTTACCCACGTCTATTGTTTCGTTTAATTTCCACGAAAATTATTGTTTAAGGGATACTGGCAGATTTTGCTTGAATACGTAAATTTTCAGTAGACGTGCAATAGATTTGCATTTTTTATTTATTTAACTGCACAAGATTGACACTTATTGGTATGTCTAATGGTTTTTAGAAAGATGGATCGTGATTGATTTTTGAAAGAGATCATTGCATCTCATTTGTTTACACTGCAATTGCACAATAATCATAGTTACCGTTTACTTGCCACCGTCGGCAATTAAGCGTTTCAGTAAGGAAGCCCGACGTACGAAACACTTGTCGGTAAAACGACTTAGAGCGGCGATTATCATTGCGTTAAGCGACTGAAGGTGGCGGCACTTGTACGATTTAAAGCTGCCGCGAAAAGCAACTGATGTAGCATTATGCTGCGAGATAGCACTAGTTCACTGTCTATCGTGATTTGCGGCTAATCGCCATTTTGACGCAACGAAACTTTCCTCGGGTTACCGTAAACTTATAAACCTTTTTGCAAAGTTACCTCGAAAAATGTTGGTCAAATCATTTTGCCAAACGTTTAAGAAGAATCTCGCAACTTTCACTATTGAAATGAAATAATAGTTAAAAACGAAACACAGAAGAAATGTATTACGACTCACCGGCGGTCGGTCTATAGTTGACGTTTATAGAAAAACGGGACAGTTTAAGAACGGGCTTAAGAACAATTTCACTTGCTATCCATTCTTTTTTCCAGTCGCCATCTATCGTTCTCGCGTCAATGATAATATAATAATTGCAGCCTCCATTGAATCCTCGGATTATAATTAATTTCTTCAATATACGTACGCGTCCTTCTTTCTCCCTCTTTTTTTTTGTTGGGCGCGTTTTTCGAAAAATAAGCGTAGCGTTTAAAAACGACTTTCCAGGGGTTACATAAAGCATCGCAATGTTCGCGACGATGTCCCGAGCGCACTCAAGCGAGTAAATGCTTGTGCAAGACGGACCAGGGTTTTTTTTCCTTTGTTTTCTGCCGTCGATCGATGATTGACGATTACGCGAAGTCGCTTTGTCGTTATGTCTCTTCTTTCTTTTGTGAACAATTGTTATAGATTTGTATCTCCATCAGGCGCTCTAAGAAGATCCTCGACTCGATAATAATAGTTTTCGTGTGACTTGGACGTTTTTCTCGATAACTCGCGACTCTCGGTACATGCTATTGAAATATCGCGCCAAGATCTATATTTTACTTTATTTTTTCCAACGCCCTCAAGTCGAAATTTTGGTCCTATGTTGAACCTAAGACAATAAAAGAGGTCGAACTGCAAGTACAAAATTTCCTTTTTTAAAACTGATAGTGTCGGAAATTTCTACTTTTGCCAATTTAGCATTAAATTAGGTCCTTTTAAGTAAAAGCTAAAGTAAATTTTTAGAATTAAAGATTCAAGGGAGGAGTAACAAAATAAAATGTCATCAAAG